CTGCCCCACTCTGCCGATCAGCTGTTTGTCGGCAGATCGGGGCAGTCTGGATGCACCACGGTCAACAAAGAAGCATTTGTCGATCGGCGCAGGTATGCCTTGTGAAACCAGGTTTCCCTCTGCCGATCTGGCTAATCTACATGCCTCCGTCGAAGGAGGCATGTAGTCTAGACACACCCTTGGAGTGGGCACGCTCTTAGGCACCCCAGTTCCCCAGGGCAGGTGGAGGATCCAGGTTTTTCCACAGTGGACCAGGCTCCCTTGATGGCTTTTACCACTGCCCAGCTGAGACCTGGCCAAGGGGTGGGCCCTCAGGGGAAAGAGGGGGAGCTGGGGGCAGGGTTCCTGCATAGCTCCAATTTTTGCATTTTGAAACGGTGGCCACTCTCCTGCGACTTTGAGTGGTGTTAGGAGCTACTCCGCCTTAGTTAGGGGGACAGAAGCTAGCCCATCCTTTGTAAACTCTCTGGGCCAAAGGACCTTCTCTCTCTCTGTCTCATGCAGCTCTGCGTGCGTTGTTGCTCCTTAACAAAGAATTATGGTTTTCATTCCCCACTAAGATATCAAGGAAGATAAAAAAAATCACATGAAATTTAAAAACATTGGCCAGTAAATATCTCTTTGACTTGACACACTGTCGCTACTACGGCTCAGTGAACGAGTAAGGGGCATGACAGATAGCCTCTCCATAGAGTTATTTCACATACTTTCAGTCAGTCACTTCCAGCCGGGGTCACAAGAATGATCAGGAAGTCACCTGGAAATCAAGGTCCGGACCACAGTTTGCTGTTGAAGAGCATGTTCGACTAGATGGCTTTGAAGCCAGCTTTCTGTTTGACTAGATGGCTTTGAAGTCAGTCTGAAGTTTGGCTTGCTGTATTGAATTTTACAATAGAGGGGGGAGGGGCTGGAGAGTTAAGCCCATTAAAAGGTTAACTCTGCCTTCAGCTATAAAAATTGGATCCCATGTCTTCCCCGAGGGGCAATAAAGTAATGTTAAATCAGAGCTGTGGTGGGAGGGTGAGGCCTGTTGCAGGCACTGATGCAATTTGAGGCAGAGCAGCTGCTGCAGTTGTACAGGGAGAAGAGCTCAGTGGTCTATAGGAGAGAAGGGCCTTGAAACAGTACAGTGCACGTGCATCTGCTGTGAGTGCCAGAGCCGCAGCATGCCAGCACCCTCCATAGACCTTCTGAAAAGCTGCAGGGTGTTCAGCTTTCCTCACGCTACAGCTGCCCTCTGGCAGCGGCGTTGTTTTCTGATGAGAGCACAGCACTAAGGAGTCAGGGATCTGGGTTGTATTCGCATCGTGTCTCCATTCTCCCAGCTGTAAAATATGGTCAGTCGTGCTTACGCCCTCCCTCTTGCGCCATGGCGCTGTGGGATCTGCACATGGAAAATGCTCTAAACATGAGAATTATGCAGTGAGCTGACACAGATGTCAGCATCTGTCTCTGCAGGTGAGTTCTGCAGCCTGTAATTCAGTGGGCATTGACCAGTTTACTGAGCTTTGCCCTCACAGAAGTCTAGATGGGCACATTGCTGATTTCCAACATTCATGTCCATTCCAACAATGCTAGAGTATGACATTGCTCTATTTATTTTCTGGGAGGCAAAAAAAACCAAAAAACCAAAAACCAAACACACACCACCCAAGGTTCAGGGTGCTACATGGCAGGGGACTTGGTGTCCCACATGGAGATTCTGCGACGCTGAAGAGGTTTTGCCCAAGTTGGTTAAATAAGGAGCTGCTAAGTACATTCGCTTTTAATGTCAGTTCATCCCCTCCTCCTTCTTTAGCTGCTGCTGATCCTTTCTTTAATAGCACCAATCTTTTAATGTCAGTTCATCCCCTCCTCCTCCTTTAGCTGCTGCTGATCCATTCTTTAATAGCGCCAACGCTTTGTAAGGGCACAAGCTGCTCTGAAGAGTGACTCCGCTAAATGTCGAACAACATAAAGCTCTGTTAAATAAACTAGCTGCTGTAATTAGAACGCACTTGATATTTCTATAGCCAAAGTGGACAGTGATTGAAATAAATGGCTGTTTATAACTGTCTTAATTAAAAAGCAGGCATGAAAGACGCTTGCGTTTAAAACCTGCTTTTATGATGATCTCACGATCCCTGTGTTTATTATAGGCCTGATCGTGTGTGGTGCAGAGTGCTTCTTTCTGCCAGGTGCTGAGTGCACTAAGCTACTGCTTGTAGTTTGAGGGTTCTTGGCATGTCTCCAAATCAGGCCCTATAAGAAAAAAATGCTGCACGTAATATTACAAATACTCCTGGATGCAAATATCTGAAACCACGAGTAATGTGGTTGTGCCTTTCCCTAGTAACTGTATGATTTCAGGTGCAAAGAAGAAAGGGACCCCTTTTCTAGGCACCCTTCCAATGGAAAAAGGCTGGCAAGCGACTGACTCACTGCGTCACACCTAGCCATTTGACAGCAGAGCACACGGAGTAGTTGATGATTAAGGCCGAAGTGGATGGGTAGATTGTGTTTATGTTGAATCATCTGCTGCAGCAAAAGGGCTAGAATTAAGGAATATTCTTTACTGGCTAGAGAATGGGATTGGGAGCTAGGAATCTTGAATTCCATTTTCAGCCCTTGCAGGGACTGACTTTGTTCCCAGCTCTGGAAGGCAGTGTGCTATAGTAGTTAGATTAGGGACAACTGGAAGTCGGACTGCTGTTTGCTGCTTGCCGGTGTTATGGAATATTGTCTAGTGGCTACAGCACGGAATTAAGAGTCAAGGTTTCTGAATTCTATTTCCAGATGTAGGAAGGAGTTTTCTTCAGTGGTCAGGGGAGGAGAATGCACATCGGGAATCCTGATCACTGTGTGTTTTTATTGCACTGCCCATTACCATTCCTCATCCATGGCCTCACTACTATTTGTTACCTGCACTCAGCACATCATGTCTCACATTGCATAGCTGTGCTGGTGACTGGCCCTTCAGAGAGATATTATAGTCACAGGTTGCTAGTTGCATTAGCCGCTGCTTAGAACAATCCAAGTGCAGGTCCTGGTTTGGCTGTGCTGAAAGCCCCTTAATCCCTGGGGCAGTGTATAAAAACATGGGATGTGTCACAGTGCTCTGAATCCTATCCGCTTGGGAATGTCGGAATTGGGTTCTAAGGACGAGAGTTTGATTTCCCCCTCCCCTCATTTTTCTTTTAATTTTCAGTTCTCCCCCTGCATTCCCTTACACGAGTGGTTCCCAACCTTTTTTATACTGGGGACCGGGAAACTCATTCACAAACTTTCGACAGACCAGCAACATTTTATTTGCATAATCATGGACCGGCGGTTGGGAACTGCTGCCTTACACCAGACTCTCCAGGTAGCTCCCTTTCAGCACTGGTTCCCTGACTGCTTGGGGATGGCAGTTGGGACCTCAGCTGTTCTGACTTGGTGGGGGGGCAGCCTGGCTGTACCCTGTCCCATGTGGGAACAGCTCAGTGGGACTTCAGCTC